TTTTTCATTCTCTTCTGAGTATTAGTAATGCATTTGGATTCTCAGTGTTTTCTTATTTTTCCGTTGGCTAAACGCAAGCATGTACATTTTACTGTTCGTTTATTTCTGCTGACTCAGCATTGATTATTTTGCATGAAATGTTATTTCAGTTCTACAACACATGCAAATATATATAAAAAAAAAGAAATTCTCGCCAAAGTAATTGTGTTCTGCGACAACGATGATGATAAAAAAAGGAATTGAATTTGGTTTTTCTTTTTACACCACCGTAAATGTATATGCCTCCATTTCATTTCTTCTCTCTCCCCGTTTCATTAGTTCTTTTTTTTCATTCTTGTGTTGTTGTTATATTTTCAATGTGCGAATTCATAGAAATAATGAATTTTCTCGTCTGTTGAGTGGATTTGTACAAAAAAAGCGTTCGATACACTGAATAAGCGAATCATGTACACTGCCACACTCAAAAATGGTGAAACACAGAAAGAGAAATGAGAAGCAAAATCGTTGTTTGAACATTAAAGAGGGCTCTTTGTGTGACACATTACCTTCATTCATCCTTTTGCCGATGTGTGCATATATCACTTGCATTGAACCCATTGTTGCCGATTCAATGACAGTTTTTCCTATTCACTTCTCCCTGCTGCTATGTTCTTTATTGTCTTCTTCCTGTCTATTGATAATGTGCACACGGAGACGAGAAAGCAAAAGCGAACGAAAGACTGAAATGGATAAAAAAAAGTGAGCGAGAAAGAAGTTATGTGTGCAAAGAGGCCGCAATGACTGAAGCAACACCAATGCTCAATGGCATCCAAATAAATTTCTTCGTTCGACGAAAATGCTACATCATTTTCTTCATTTAATGGAACATTTACACTTTCAATGCATTTCCATCTTGCCGATATCACTCTCCATGTGTCTACTATATAATCAACATTATTCAATCATACACAGAACAAAATATCGTCACTATCTGACGATGGGGCTGAACGAAAAATTGGCTACTACTTCTGCTGACATTGCTGTATCGATAACACGATGGAAATGCAGTTCAACAAGAATCTATTGGCTTTTTCACTGTCGATTGAACCCAATTTAACACTTTTAAAACAAACAGTGGTCGTATTTTTCTTTCCATGAGCATCTGAAGCAAAATCAATTTGTGTAACAAACAAAAATATGAAAACTATGAATAGATAACGAGGCATTTTATAACCTATCTTTTGTTTGGTCTCTCAAGCATTGAAAGATGGTTCTTCTTTTTCGAGCTGTTACTGTAATTTTGATTCCTTTTTTTGTTGGGAATTCTATTTGTGAACAAGGAAAATCAAATATACAAGAAACACACGTTCATAGTTGAGCATGAACCGAAAGTTAAAAAAAACATACACACACACATACAAAAGAAGCGACTAGATGATGAACTTAAAAACCATGTAGAGTAGTTGTATACTTATTTAAAATGATGATGTAAAAAAGTGTTCCATGGGATCGCGTTGATAATGACGACCAGTGTGCAGAGACAATAAACGAAAAAAAATATGTATTTCCGTAAGACGAGTGAAAATGAAGAGAAAATCTAAATAAAAAAAACCACCTAGATCGAACGAAAAAACGATGACGGGAAGTGTGTCAATCTCGGAATTTATTCGACATTTTCTCATAACACCGTACAGTTACATCTCTCACGTTGTTAGTACAATATTCCTTTTACTTTAGTTCGGCAATTCATTTTTGAGATTCTCCTGCTACTCGCTCCTCATCCGGTCTACATTTTTGGTTGCATTCGACTGCGCTTAGCTGTAATATTCTTACATAGCACTTTATCTCTCATTCCTTCCATCGCCGTGTGATGTCGATTTTGCATTTTTTTCTTCTCCTCACCTCAATTTTATGCTTTTCATCTCAGTTCATATTCTATTTTCTATTGCTGTTCTTCTCTTCAGTTCATTTTATGCTTATTTTTTATTTGAATTCTTCATTTTGCTTTGGTATAGAGTGCATCTTTGCTATGACTATTTTGCTATAGCCGTTGGCCATTGGATTGCGGAAAAAACCATTGGAATATGAGTGCATAAAAATGAGCTGAGTTGAATTATTTTACAGGGTTAATAGAAAATTGGATGTTATTCAATATAAACAAAAATTCATGTGTCAATTATATATTCGAAATTTGGTCACATTTTAGTTTGTTCAAACATTTTTTTGTTGGCCTTATTTGTTTGATAATGATTGAAATCTGTGTGAGAGGTTTTTTTTTCGTTCGATTCTCGTCATATTTATGAAGAGCACGCACACACCAACTGACTCAATATTTTACACACCAACTGACTCAATATTTTACACTCCGGCTCACACGTACATTTTTCTATGTAGATCTTTTAGGCATCCTTTTTGATGTCGACGAGCAAGAGCAAACAGTCAAGCGAAACCACATTAATATTCGTCGAAGCGAAATGAGCGTTGCGCTATATATATATATTTTTTTTGTATTCAACCACATTCCATGTTAAATTTCTTCTGTTTTGCTCTTTGGTTTCGTTTGTTTGTCGACTTCCCTTTTTTATCGCTAGATTCGGGTTTTTAGTACATTTACAGTGGAAAAAGCAAACGAAGCCATAAGGAGACCGGAATTGAAAATCATTTCTCAATTTTTTTTTTCATTCTCTTTCCTTCCAAAACGCCTTCCGTTCACTCATCACAATTTCGTATACTCGTATATGAAAACAAATACCAAATGTTCATTCATTTCGTTTCCGAGCAGACGGAGAAAGATTTCTTTTTTATGTTCAATTTAATTTGGTGCTAATGTTTCAACTAAAATTTCGTTAAGAAAGGTGAAAAGAATAATGTGGCCATTTTAATTTCGTTTATTTAATGTTCAGAAATTCACTTTCATTGTGACATTCTTATAGAATACAATGTGCTTCAAATCATGAGCTAAGTGAAAATTTAAGTAATAAACCGACACCATCGAAGCAAAAACGAATGAGAGAGTGACAGAGGGAGAGAAAAAGGCTTCGTCATTTTTTTAGTTAACCAAGAATCAAAAGGAAATAATTGTAATTAGCAAAGCAGCCTTAGAATATAATGAAATTTAAACAGAGACTTTTTCGCATGATTTATTATTATCGTTTGTGTGTTTGACCCGACACAGAAGAGAAAATAATAACAAATGAACGCGCTACCCTTTTTTGACTATCTAAATTGAATTAGATTTTTGTGGGAGAAAGAGAGAGAGAGAGAAATGTCATAACGGACGAAATAATTTGTATTCACACCGAAAATGTCAAGAAGGTCGAAAACGACCACCATCATGGTGACGGTCGTTGATGTTATTACTTGGTGTAATTATCGTCTGCACATTGACACAATTTTCAAGCGTCTATCTCTCTCTCTATCTCTTTTCCTTTGCACCTTTCTGAACCAAAGGTGAGACTAATGGTTGAACCGAATAAACATTTCTTGAGTTAATGAACAAGTGAAAAGCGACACGGAAAATAATTGTAGATAGCAAAAGTAAAGCGTACAGTATAAAAAATATGGAAAAAAAAGAACTGAAAAAAACCGAATAGCAAAGAGAAAAGGAGTCAACGTATAAGGGGCATTAAGCAGTGAATATAAATTGAATTAAAACAACAGTATTGCCAACGATGATGATGACGACGACAACGACGTCGAAAAAAGATTAAGAGAGATCAAAAAATAGGAAAAGAATAAGACTTAAGAACAAAAGTAAACGGCATCCATTATATTTAGTGCACAGACATGCATGGATTGCACCTTTCATGTATGAACTCACATCAGCTGTCTAAATAGAACACATAATTCTCAAATGTTCCAAAGTGCTGATGCAAACAAAAAGATATACAAAAAGAGAAAAAGATAGATAGATAGAGAGAGAGAGTCAGTTTACATACCAACAAACAGATGTACATCATAGGCAAAACAAAATAGCTCAGGCAGATGATTTTGTTGCTGATGATGATGATAGTAAAAATCTTAATAGTAGAAGTGACGACGATGACGACAATTTGCGTCAGTGTTCGTCTCAAAATTGACAAGACGGTTGATATGTGCATGTGTTTGCGCGCCACCGAGTATATATGTATTGGTGGGAGCAAGCATATGGTCATCGACACTACTTCATGAAATTATTCGTACTTTTCTGTCCCTCTTCGTCTCTCACATTTATTTTGACCATTTTTTTTATTCATGTGACTAAACATTCTCTCTCACTATCGTTCATAAACTTAATAAACATTATGAAGTAATCACACCCACACAAAAAACGTTCACTTTGTTCATATTTTTTCCACTTTGAAGAAGAAACATACCCCAATTTAAATTCCATTGCTTGGTTTCATTTTCAAGTGGCGAATATGAAAATTCCTATGGAAATACTACCATTAACGTTCAGTGGCGTTCACTCAGCGCCGATGTTGGTTGGTTGTTTTATTTCGTTCGTCTCCACCTTTTTTATCAAATGGAAATATACTTTTGTCTTGTTTCACATTTTATGCATAACAATATGCATAACTTGCTGTGTTTTTCACTTCAATCAAAATATTCCTATCTATAATATAATTGCTATGTTTAAGAATGAATTCCATATTTCGAAATGAATCTGAAAAGAAAGAGACAATAACTGTGAAGTAGAAAACATTTACTTTTTTTGTGTGGATTTTATCATTCCACCTGGAATGTAAATCAAAATGATTCATTGAGATGTGCTCAAGTATGAAATTGACGCAAACAATTGTAATTTCCAAGCAATTATCTTGATTATTTCAATTGTAATCATAACAAATAAATCGGTCATCGCTTGTTTCAAATGAAAATCAATCGCAATTGCTTTTTTATTAAACAAAATCAAGCAAAAACAACAAAAACTGTGTAAATGGTTGTCAGTCAAATGTATTCATCTGTTGTTTTTTTATGCAAAAAGAAAAAAAAATTATTAACTCATCATTTGTTTGTTTTCTCTTCACTTCAATTCACAGAAAGTAGGATGCCGTATTTTGAAGGTATTTTCAAACATGTGCCCACAGAGTTCCGACCGGGTCGTACAGTGCATTGGCAAGGCAAAAGAATGCATGGATGCCATCAGCGATATTCTTGTGCTGATAAAAGAAGTGCCAATAAAAGGCTCAATACAAAGTTATGATCCAATCAATTACGATGACTACTTGGCCGACAAATATGGTGGATTTGGTGGAGATAATGCCGGTAATGGCGGAAATCGTAATAACAACAATAACAACCGCGGCGGAAACAGTGGCGGTGGCGGTGGCGGTGGCGGTAGCGGCGGTGGCAATGGAGGCCAAGGTATAAAACAAATCCTTAAATCACACGAAGAATTTCGCTCAAACGATTAAGAGAGTTAAACAAAACAAAAAAAAATGTTTTTATTTGATTAGGTCGCAACAATCGAGACAGAAGCTTTGAGCGCCGTGACAATAATCGCAACTTCAATCGAAGAAATGACGGTGGTGGACGTGGTGGTAATAATAACATGAGGTGAGTGTTTGAAATTCAATTTTAATAGTTCTTTTTGAAACGTATTTTCTGATCGTTTTTTTTCTGGTTTTCGTTGTCATTTTGCAGAGATCGTGATCGTAACAGTTTCATAAATCCATGGGCATCGAACCAACAGCCCCTGGGTGGTAACAATTTTGATGGACCAAATTTCAGTCAGTTTGGAAACAATGGCCTCGGTGGCATGGGCTACAATAATTTCAACAACCCGAACAATACAAGCAACACAAATAGCTTGATGAATGGATTTAATGGGCTCGGTAATAATCCAAATTTGGGCAACAACAGTGCATTTGATAACAGCATGGGCGGTAACATGGGTATGGGTGGTAACAACAATTTGGGAAATAATATGCCAAATAATCTTGGAAACAATGGACAAAATGATGAGAGTCGAGAAACTACACAAGTTACAATTCCAAAAGATGTAAGATTTTTCCCGGTTTCAATATCATGAAATGATTTTTCATATGCGTTTGTTTTTCTCTTTTTCTTATTTAGTTGGCTGGTGCTATCATTGGAAAAGCTGGAACACGCATACGAAGAATTCGTATGGAATCGAACGCCTTCATCACAATCGATGAACCAGCTCAAGGATCAACCGATCGCATCATCACAATTTCTGGCACAGCAAGGCAAATTCAATTGGCTCAATATTTGCTGCAGCAAAGGTAGGCAATTTAATATTCAAATATACACGGCCTTCATTTACCTCTTTCATTTGATTTATGTATTAAGTCATATATATTTTTGGTAAAAACAAAAAGTCATTTTGGTGTTGGATTTCGCATGCACTACGTATTTTTTTTGCATTGGGTAAATGGAACTAATCGCGCTAACAAACCTTCAGGAGTGAAAAATCGAAACACGCATATCATCGCAACTAAAACATTCTTTTTGGCATACTTTGTATGGAAGACTAGTGATTTTGTTGTTTGACATTTCGAAATTAACAAAAAATCTCTTGTCTTTCTACAATGTTTGCTGCTATCAGCATTTAATAATCCAATTTCATACACGGGAGACATACACACACAGTGTTGGGAAAATTTAATACCTACTATCTTATCTTTTTTATTAATATATGCTCATTTTTTTCACATTGTATTTAAAAATGTTGCTGAAAAAAATGATCGATATTTAAATTTATAACTAATTTGTTTGCATTTTTCTTTCCGTTAATTTTACAGTGTACGCGAACATCGACGAAATTAATAGCCAGCGTCAATACAGATGTTAACCATGTCCAGCCAGCAATAATCCATCGTGCGTTAAATACAACTCTAATTTCTCCTACACCTCCTCCTGCCACCTTAAAGTATGAACGAAGAATTCACCAGCCGCCGTATAAAAAATATTTGAAAAAAAAAACCACAATACTGGTTGCAATAATATATGATCTTCTAAAGTACATACCCACACCGCATTTAGCAGATGCAATCAATGTTTTTTTTCTTTAAAAAAATCTACAAAATGTAATAAAGAACAAATTATAGACACATTGAATGACCATAGAAATTCAGCCATTCCAACACAAAACAACAAGAATAAAACAACGAAAAGGATTTGTTTCATTTCAACGCGTAAATTTTATACAAATTGTGAATCACATTTAAAACAAACAATTTCGCTTCGTGTGTAAGAAAATAATAATAAATGAATGAACACTGAACCAAGTAATCAAGGCACAAAATGTCTTATACAAATTTAAATATTACACTGGGAAGTAAACCAAACAGACAATGAAAACATTTGAAACAAAAAAAAATAGTTTGCAATTAGTGTCACTCATCCAAACTCAATCCCAACTATTCAATAAATTAAATCAAATCAAAGAATTAAAATTAAAACAAAAATCTACATTTTTATTTTATTGTAACGCAACATTTTTATAGTAAATCTATGCCGAAACAAACATTTGAAAATACTGATATACACATATGTGACAATGAATACAAGAGAATTTCATAATTCACACGTCCATTTTTATCATGATAGTTTTGTTTCTTTTGTTACGGTCATTGTGGAATGAATTTGAATATCTTGTGCTCAAAACTTACTTTTATTAGCCACTTTGAAATGAATATATGTATTTTTTTCGATACATTTTTTGTTCGTGCATTTTGCATAATTAATTGAAGATGTTTTAAAAAAAATCATCGTACAACTCGAGTTAGTACTATAACTTTGTTATATAATGTTAGAACAACTTTGCTTAAGATTGTTTCTTCAGTTACGAAAAGCGAGAGGCCGACAAAAAAATGCCTGTGAAAAAAAGAACAGATATTTTTTTTTTCAACCAAAACGAACATTGTATGTGTATTCATTGGAACAAATTTGTGTCCCAGTATGTTCATTTGGTGAGTCGATGCGATTTTTAAAAAAATAAAAATAAAACAATAAATATAGAGAGAGAAATAGATGAACACAAATTTATATTTTTTAATCAGTTTTTTTTCTCACGCTATACATTTCTTGGTACATGAATGTATTATAGTATACAAACAAAATGAATGAAAAAAAAAACAAACACAAAAAATATTGATTGAATTATTTTACTTTGTTATATTACAATTTAAGGTCTTTTTTAACGTTCCAACTGTTTAAAAAAAAAATTAAATCGAGAAAATGTATAAAAAAGAATTATAAAAATAAAAGCTAAAAAATGGCTTCCAAAAAAATACAAATCATTTTCGTTTTATTCTTTTTTTTAGTTATAGTTTTTTTGCAGTGATTTCTAATAAATCTTAATTCAGATAAACCAGAAAGATGTTTGAAAAAAATTTAAACCGAGACAAATAAATTCAGTTTCCCATTTTAGTTCGCTTCCTTTCATATAAAAGTTAAACACTGTAACTCTTGTTGTAGCAAATCTGCGAAATGGATAAATTTAATGGTAGCATATCATTCAATTAAAAATCAATATATCCTCTGCTGCTCAAACATGTAATATTGCAATTCAATTACTTGAATCGATTTTCTGCAAATAAGAAAAAGTGCATTGATCCAAATGCATTCTCCACAAACAATACCGTCGGTCAAATTTAGAACATGAACTTTATGTCAATATGTATTTCTACAGTATAACACTAGATGGCGTTGCTGTGCACTCAAACAAGTGTCTTCTTTTTTGAATAACGGAATACAAACCTCATACTAACATCGTCAGTCAACTGGTGTACTCATATTTTTCGCGCTCAGTAAATGAACGGGCCGAATTTCGTTCACACATTCAACTCGTGCACATTGATTTTGATCGAAAAAACAGGATGGCAAATACGGAAAATGAGAACAGAAATGTACAAATTGAATCCAATAATATGGTAAGTAAAAGGATCATTTTTGTGCAATAGAAAAATCAGTCGAGGTGGTAATGCAATCAAAGTGTGCAATTAATTTTGTTTTTTTACAATGAAAAAGAATGTCGAAGAAAATTCATTGGAAGTAAGACCAGAAGATTTTGAGTCAGAGCGACTGGAATATTTACTCAAACAAGCTGAAGTCTATTCACATTTCGTGACACACGGTTCCAAGAAAAATAACAAACGCAAAGCGACCGAAACAACAGCGACAGTACCGTAAGTTGTAATTTGGCAAATGTCAAACACACAATAGTTATTGAGTTATTTGGAATTCAATTGGAATGTGTTTATCATTATTTTTCGGTTGAATTTTTCTTTAAACAAAACGAATTGTAGATCGAAAAAAGTACGACGCAGTAATGGAGATGTGTCGGACGATCTGAACGATTCAACTGTCAAAGTGAAATTTCAGTTTGACGAAACACCATCATATATTGTTGGTGAAATGCGTGACTATCAGATCCGAGCACTGAATTGGTTAATAACGCTGTATGAAAATGGCATCAATGGCATTTTGGCTGATGAAATGGGCTTGGGTAAGTTGGAATTGAGTGGAAATATAGTTTCATCTTATGTTGTAGCAACTAAATTCAACGAATTCGTTTCGTTTCACAGGCAAAACTCTTGAAACCATCTCAATGTTGGGATATCTGAAACAGTATGAGTAAGTATCACATTTCGATTTGTATAAACAATCCAAAATCATGTGTTGCATGGTTCTCGTTGATTTGTAGAAAAGTAAATGGGCCCCATTTAATCGTTGCGCCGAATTCAACGCTCCAAAATTGGATGAATGAAATTCAAAAATTTTGTCCGTCTCTGACTGGCTACATTTTGATCGGTGAAAAACAATCGCGTTCGGATATTTTGAAAAAAATGAAAAATTCGAAGAAATGGAATGTTTGCATTACATCGTATGAGATTTGTTTGATAGAAAAAGGTCCACTGAAACGATTCCATTGGAAGTATGTGATTGTTGACGAAGCACATCGCATCAAAAACGAACAGTCAAAACTGAGCAAAGCATTACGAACATTCAATTCAGTAAACCGTTTACTTCTAACCGGTACACCGTTGCAGGTAAATAGACAGACTGAATTCACTGAAAATTTAACGAATGATGAAGTGATTAACAGTTATTTATTTGCTTGTAGAACAATCTTCATGAGCTGTGGGCATTGCTGAACTATTTGTTGCCAACCGTGTTTGCAAGTTCAGATGATTTTGATACATGGTTCGATTCGAACAATTGTTTGCGTGGAAACAATGACATTGTTAAGCGTTTGCACACAATTCTCAAGCCGTTCATGCTTCGCCGTATGAAGGCCGATGTGGAAAAGACGCTTTTGCCAAAGAAAGAATTGAAATTGTTTGTTGGACTGACATCGATTCAACGTCAAACATACAAAAAGGTGCTATTGAAGGATATTCAAACGTTAAACTCGGTAACCGGACAGCTATCACAAAAGGTGCTCAAAACCATTATGATGGAACTTCGCAAAGCAGTCAACCATCCATATTTGATTGATGGCGTTGAACCTGGCCCTCCATATACCACCGATCAACACTTGGTAATTAAAATCGAACGCAACACAAATTGATTGAAATTGAATTGTTAACATATATGCTTTGCAATAGGTTGATAGCTGTGGTAAAATGATGGTATTGGATAAACTTTTGGCAAGACTAAAAGCACAAGGTTCACGGGTCGTTCTCTTCACTCAGTTCGTAATTATGTTGAACGTCTTTGAAGATTATTTGACTTGGCGCGGATATCAATATTGCCGTTTGGATGGCAGTACACCGTTTGAAGACCGCGTTCAAAGCATCGAAGAATTCAATGCAGAAAACAGCGAAAAATTCATATTCATTTTAAGCACCCGGGCTGGTGGCTTAGGTATTAATTTGACCACCGCTGACACCGTGATTGTCTATGATTCGGATTGGAATCCACAATCGGATTTCCAGGTAAAAAGCATTTTTGTTTTAGAAAAAAGTGCGCCAACATATCTTAAATTGGCGAACGATCTTTTTATCAATCAAAAATCACGAACATTTCGAAACATTAATACCAACAGATTAAAGAGTGATTCTCATCTTTCTGCTTTCAGGCAATTGATCGTGTTCATCGTATTGGCCAAACAAAACAGGTTCGCGTTTTTCGATTTATCGCTGAAAATACGATCGATGAGCGCATTGTTCAACGTGCAGAACTTAAGTCACGTTTGGATAAATTGATTATACAAAAAGGTAACCAAATGGATGTAGAGACGGATGGCCAGCGAAAAAATGCCACACTGGATATGATAAGATTTGGTGCTGAGCATATTTTATCAGCAAAAGATGGTGACGATGTTATTGATATTGATATCGAGAAAATTTTGAAAGATGGTGCATTGAAAACGGCCGAAGAAGAAGAGAAATTTGCAAAATATGGTGAAAATGAATTGCGTCATCTAACATTTGATGATGTGTCAAGCGTATCATTGTATCAATTCGAGGGTTTTGATTTTCGTAAAAAGCAAGAATCATCAGTAGACAACGAAGAAATGGACGGCGTCCGAGGTGTACGAAAGGCACGATTGAATCGAAAATCCTATAATGGTAACGTGTCAGGCATACTTTACTATTCCATTACTCTACAATTCTGTTCCATTACTTATTGACTAATTTCCATTCTTTTCTTTCTGATTAACCCTAGGTAACGAGACATTGGATGGAGAAAATCTCATCAGATTGTATCAACATCAATTGTATCCGAAAAAATTGTACAATATGACTGAAGATGGTGAATATTTGGATCTATCGCATGGCACCAAACGCAAAGAGGCGCTAATGCAACAAGGCTTCACCAATTGGACCGAAGAGAATTTCAGTCAATTTTGCGATGCAATGAACCAATTTGGTCGAAATGATATGCACAATATTGCAAAAATGGTGAAAGGAAAAACTGTGGATGATGTCATCAAGTACAGTTCAGCATTTTGGGCACGTGGCCGTCAAATCATGGAAGATTTTGATGAAATTGTTAAGGAAGTTGGACAACACGAAAAAATGACAGTAAAAATAGCAGCAAATAAGAAGATTGATCAACGAGAATTTTGGCGCCAAGTTGAGCCAACAACCGACACCAAACATCCACCAGTTTCAACACTCATTTCTAATGTGGTCGCACCGAAAAAAATCGATATTTCCAGTCAACGAGCATTTTGGACCAATTCCACAAATTCACTACCGTCGGCAACGTCAACTTCGTCCTCATCGTTGCAACAAGGAAAAAGCACCTACTCGATGTACATGAAACAATTTTCTAAGGCCGACAAGACGCTTATTTACAGTGACAGTGAATCCAGTGACAGCGACGATGATTAGAAGCAACAATTATCATAGTTTTTTCGACCCATATTGTGCCTCATTATCTTAAGCGATCTATTATTTTCTTTTCTTTTCTCAACACAATCGACTACAATTTCAATACAATATTGAATTCTGAAAACTCATGACAAAATATAATCGAGTGTATTTTCTTCATTTTGGAATATCATCAAAATCGGTTAAAATTCGTTGTATTGATTACACAAAAACAATCGTTTAGATTATAAGTGACATATCCATATTGTTTTTGTCTTAAATAAAACAATCGTTGTTTATTTACATGTGACAATCGAGCTCTTATTTTATTTTGCATTTTTCTCTCTGAGTTCGTAAAATAGTACGTGTTAGCACATATTGTTTAAGTTCACTTCATTGTACCGTTTACACAGTGTGCGTGCGCATATTATTCGGATTTGGTGCAAAACATAACCCCTTCGTCTGAGAACCATGACATTGCAAGTTAATTTTTAAATTTAACCACACGCTGTTTCACTTGATGGCGCGTCAGTCGGTGTACAAATAAAATGATCTGGTCCATTTTGCATGTGCATTCATTCTCTCACTCAAACAGACAGTATAACGGACAGTGTGTACTTGATTAAAGCATTTGCATTGACTTTTGATATTTACTTTGGTAATTTGAAAATTGACCGTATTGTAGTGTTTATTGTGATTATATCTTCGACAAAAAAAATAAAATAATGGCTGAAGCGATGGAGGTGGACGATACTAAAATTGGCGATGAAAATTCCAATTCGAAAATTGTAAGTAAACACTTGTGATGGTTTTTCGCTGAAAAAAAAAATTATCCTACAAATGTTTGTGTATGCAAATTTATTGAATGTAAGGTGGATGTGTCACCGAAAGAAAGTTTTTTAAGTCCGAAACAACAAAAGCGACTGGATTATTTATTGGCACAAGCCGAAATTTTCACACATTTTGTGGGCAATTCACCAAAGCAAGCGGCGAAACAAAAAATGGCGCTTATACGTGAAAAAAAGTGAGTTTTGACAGGTCCACTTACAACAAGTCAGCGTTCGACACTCTACTCTCAATGGCACACTTCACTCTCTTTTTCCCGAACAAGGTTACCATCAACAAATCGCCGCCGAAATAAAGGCAATGACGAAGAAAGCGATATTGAAGACGATGAAACGACAACGGGCATACGATTTGATACAACCCCAACGTGGATCAAAGGCGAAATGCGTGATTATCAATTGCGCGGTTTGAATTGGATGATTGCATTATACGAACAGGGCGTGAACGGCATCTTGGCCGATGAAATGGGCTTAGGTACATGACAGCAACTCTAACTACTTTACACAAAAAACCATTTTTAACCGATTTTTGTTCAATTTTGAATAGGTAAAACATTGCAAACAATATCAGTTCTTGGTTATTTGAAACATTGCCGGTAAGACTTGCGCATTTTTTAAAAAGAATCGATATTCGAATATTAAGATACTGTGGATAATTTTAGATCAATCAACGGTGCATTTTTGGTCATTGGACCGAAGTCAACACTTCGTAACTGGTACAACGAAGTCAATCGATTTTGTCCATCGCTCAGAGCGCTCATTTTGATTGGCGACAAAGAGGAACGCGACAAGGTGGTACGTGAAATGGACGATCGAATGTCATGGGATTGTCTTTTAACAACATATGAAATGATTTTATCCGAAAAAAGTCGATTGAAACGGGTTCATTGGAGATATCTTGTCGTTGATGAAGCTCATCGTTTAAAAAACGAAAATAGCAAATTGAGTACAATCTTGCGCACATTTCATTCTGACAACCGACTGTTGCTTACAGGAACACCGTTACAGGCATGTATTCAGTACTATCATTGCAAACACATTTCTCGCAACTAAAGCGAATCAAACAATTCTCATACCTTTCCATTTACAAACAGAATAATTTGCACGAACTGTGGGCACTGTTGAATTTTCTCTTGCCAGATGTGTTTGCTAGTTCCGCTGATTTCGATACATGGTTTGATTCTGATGACTGTCTCAGAGGTAGCAAGTTTTGTCAGGAATGATTTGAATTTATTTTCAATTGTTTTGTTTTTACTTTTGTGATTCGACATTTAGGCAACAATGAGATTGTCAATCGATTGCGGGCCATTTTAAAGCCATTCATGTTGCGCCGAATCAAGGCTGAAGTGGAAAAATCACTTCTACCAAAAATCGAAGTGAAATTGTTTGTTGGTTTAACACCATTACAACGTGAAACATATAAGAAGGTTCTACTGAAAGAGGTCAAGAAAATTGATGCATTTGGCGATGAATCCACTAAATCGATCAGCAACATTTTAATGGAATTACGAAAGGCGTCCAACCATCCATATTTAATTGATGGCGTTGAACTTGGCCCGCCATATACCACCGATATGCATTTAGTAACCAGCTGTGGTAAAATGATGGTATTGGATAAACTTTTGGCAAAACTAAAGGCACAGGGTTCGCGTGTTGTTATGTTCAGCCAATTTGTGATAATGCTCGACATTTTGGAGGATTATTTAACGTGGCGTGGCCATGAATTCCGTCGTTTGGATGGAAACACACCGTATGAAGACCGTGCAACCAACATCGATGAATTTAATGCGGAAAATAGCAACATTTTTCTTTATTTGATTTCAACACGTGCAGGAGGCTTGGGTAATATGAAAAACAAAAATTAATTAAATTAAGACATGATTCGATCAAATCCATCAAGACTTTTCAATATTTGTTGTATCGAACGTTTCATTGTGCACAGGTATCAATTTGGCTACGGCTGATACCGTCATCATCTACGATTCGGATTGGAATCCACAGCCAGACTTTCAAGCGATCGATCGGGTGCATCGCATTGGTCAAAAGAAACAGGTGCGTGTATTTCGATTGGTCTCCGAAAATACAGTCGACGAACGAATTGTTCAACGCGCTGAAATAAAGTCCCGTTTGGATAAAATGGTAATTCAACTTAATTTTTTCATTATATGTTTCCGATTATTTTTCGATTATTCTCCGATTACTTATCGATTATTTTAAATTTTATTCTTTTCTTTTGTGATTCTCCCCTTAGGTAATTCAACAAGGCCGTACGGTTGATAAGAGAATCAGCGAAATAACGAAAGGCATGAAACGAGACATGATTCGATTTGGCGCTGAACAGATACTATCATCATCAGATGGATCCAATGTAATCGACATTGATATTGATAAGATTTTGAAAAGAGGTGAAGAAAAAACGGCCGAAGAGAATGCCAAATATGCCGAAATGGGCGAAAGTGAACTGACAACATTGACATTAGAAGAGGCTTCAAGTACATCAATTTATCAATATGAAGGCACTGATTTTCGTACAAAACAAAAGAGAGGCGCCGATGATACATACGAATTGCGCAAACGAAAGCAATACAATTTTCCAATGATGCCATCGTCGCCCATACCAGTGCCAGCCATTCCTCGAAACATGAAACTTTTGCATGATTTTCATTTTTATCCAAAGGAACTATACGAAATGTGCGAAAGTGATGGACGTATTAATATGGCAATCGATCGTGAAACAAAAGAAAGTTTGATGAGCAAAGGTTTTGTAAATTGGTCACGAAACGATTTAAAATTGTAAGTTCAATTTCGATTTAAATTTTACGTTATACTAATAACAATTCATTCGAAGATATGTCGACGCAATGGCAGAATGTGGGCGCGACAATTTGACCGACATTTTTGAAAAAGGTTTGATTCCTGGCAAAACATTGAATGAACTGACTCAATATCATCTCGTATTTTGGCAACGTGGTAAAACCGAAATAAAAACATTCGATCGCTGTATTAAGCCATTGGTGAAAAAAGAAATGGCCGAAAAGCTGATAGAGCATTCCATTGAAGCATTTGAGTGGAAAATGACTAGCTATCGTTGCATCGAAGTGGAACTTACGATTAAAGGAATGCGAAAATCAAACTATACACGTGAACATGACACTTTCATTTTAATGTCATTACAAAAACACGGCATTCATAATCCAAATGTCTACAGTTTGATGCGTCGAGAAATTTCGTAAGTTTGCTCTAAAAAAAATATATGAGAAAAAAATGAATAAAACCTAAATCTTCGAAAGTATAAATCTATCATAAAATTTATATATTGGCTTTTGTAGATTATCAAAGCGATACTGTTTCGATTGGTATTTACGTAGCCGCACGGAAGCTGAGCTTCAAAAACGCAGTCACGCCTTACTCCAATTAATCATTGCCGAGTATACTGAGCACATGGCAAAAAACACATCAGCCGCATCAGATACTGCAGTACAGGCCGGAAACAGTACACACAACGCCAAGAAGGGATCTTCCCAACAGAAAACAAAGTTGAACATGACAGCATTCACATAATTTAATTCATACATACTTTTAACGTATGTGAATGAAAATTATGTGAATTGTTAGTTAAATTTTTAATTTTCAAAAAAAAAAAAAACAAATCACCGACCATTTTGGAATTTTTTGATAAAAAAAAGGACAATAATATGTCAGTATAATTTTTTTTAGTTTTAAGCTTTTTATCGGATCAGATTTTTGCATATATTTGAAGAACCAAGAAATTGACAATACCGTTTATATATGAATGAAAAATTGCAGTGCAAATAATATTACGACAAAATCTAATTGGATTTTTTTTTTAAATCTGATTGAAAGCCAAAACGATAATTTTAAAGACGTTCAAAGAGAACTGTGGAACAAATGCTAAAAAAACCATGTAAAAGAAAGTATGAATAAAAAAAATAATTTGCGTTAACATTTATTGTTGAATTTTATTCATTCTCTTGGAGAGTGTTTGCATAATCTCGGAATTGTTCTAACTAAATAAATCAGTTTTACATAGAAATCAACAAATCGAATTGTTTTTCAATTGCATTGATTTTTCGGGCGTCCTCTCCACGGTTTCGCATATATTCCATCAGTTTTGTGAACGCTGTTGAAAAGAATAAAGAGAAAAACTTAATTACAATTTCTTCATGTCTAAAAATCGGATGTTTTTTCTTTCATACCTAGTTTGTCTTCAGCATTCATCATAGCCGAGATGATGGTCATCTGATCATTTTTGAAAATGCCATGCATAATATTGACTATTGGAAGATTTTGATGAACAAATTCTGATTTGAGAATCGTGAAAATTTCCCGTAATATATTCAAGGTAAATTGAGCGCCCAAAATTCGACCGATGTCAGCATTGTAAATACCCTGCAATGCAACGCAATAAACAAAACTCAATTAGCATTTGCCATTATATTGTGCGTTATTCAAAATTACCTTGAGCACCGTAAATTTTTGTGCATCATCTTTAATCGAAGACCATGTTTTATAGAATTGCGCTGAATTCTTTGGTATCACCAAATCAACTGGTATGATGTGTGGAATTTTTTCGATGACCGGCATTTTGTTCGATTTGGATTTTTTGGTATTGGCAATTGATTTATTGTTCTTTTGCGATGTTTGATCGATATTCGATTCGGAAGTTGATTCAACGATTCGATTTGAATCGATCATAGCCGGTGCCGATGTAGTCTTTTCGTTGCTATCAACGATTGTAATACTCTTCAGCGGTTGATTTGATCGTAAGTGTGGTGGTTTAGTCACAAAATCAATGCTTTCAAAACCATCTTTGCCGTCAAACTGTGATGTCCATGCAATTTTTTTGGCCACCGATTCAACCTTCAAATCACGTTGTGTTACTATATTTTTGCTACCTTTCGATATACCATCAAGTCGACTTAAGCTACGTTTTGCTTCAGCATTTTTCGGATCGATAAGAAGAATACATTTGTAATCGTTAATTGCCACTTGCAAATCACCTTTCATTTGTTCATATGCTTGTGCTCGCCGATAATACGCTTTGACCGCCAGGTTATCCAGTTCAATTGCCTTTGTACAATCCTGAATGCATTCCGTGAATTCGTTTCGTTTCAAATAACACAACGCTCGATTTGTATAAAAAACAGCTTCACTGCCATTCAATCGAATTGCTTCTGTGTAATAATGTATGGCCTTTTGGTATTCACCGGTTTTAACATGATCATTTCCACGTTGCTTGAACTCATCGGCTTTTTCAGCATTCGATTTATTAATGTGATTCAATTGACCTTTGCGAGGGGCTTCAGTCTGTGCTGCTGATGTCGACGCTTTCGAATCATTCAACGGATTTTTTTCAGTTTCTCCGCCGCTTGATGTCGGCTTAACACTTTTCGGTTTATAATAATTAAACTGACTGTGATCCGGTATCTCGTTTGATTTTTTTGTTGATGTTGCTTGATCACTTGTCGATGGTTCAACATCGGAGGCTGGTGGTTTTTGACTTCTTATCATATAACTTTGATCGAATGCCTAAAAATACAAATGAAAAAAAGAGAAACATGAATACATAGAACAAAAATAATGAAATATATAAGTAACCTCTTCATCGGGTGCCGTGTTGCGTTTGGCATCCTGTTCTTTTACGTCTTTTTCCCATGCATACAAACTATTTACCGCATCACGAATTTGATTGACTTTTTGCATAGCTTGTACTTGTGTTTCTAAATCCGACATGGTTTCAAAATTTATTTTCCCCTTTGATTCGATAATAAATGAAAATTACACCAAAAATTCACCAAAAAAAAACATACAATTTTGAACCGATGAATTTGCGCGATTCACATTCGCTATCAACAAAAGCAACTGTCAAACGAATGACTTGAGATTTGTTTATTAGGTTGCTATCGCAGTTTGTTTGCGATGAATGTTCTGGAGATTTAATTGATTATTTTGTTATTCTTGATATATTGGATTTTTTTTATTGAATACTTTTATGAAAATATTTTCGAAAATGTCTTGCACACAATTTGGCAAAAACAATAGAAAAAGGTATGCAAATAATAATGTTTAATGTGTATGGAAAAACTGAATTGAAATGTGAATGCGTGCGTTCAGTATGCACCGTCAAAAGTACTTAAGTTTTGAGCAGGTTCTCACATGGTTTTGTAATGTGGCCCGGTCAGTTATTAAGTACGTTGTGGTTTTGTTACCCGCTATTCGGTGAAATTTGTATTAGCTACAGCCGATACTCGAACCGTTTACAGCACCAAAAGTACTTAAGAAAAGTGTCTCTGGCTATCACCAAAAATAATTCAAAACATGCTTTCAACGATTCCAATGGGAATTTGAAGAAAAGCTTTAATGGAACACAATTTTAAAAGTTCGAAGTGAAAAATGGAATGAGAAGCAGCAAAAAGATATGAACGTTAATAATTGTGTTAACACACCATTTATTCAAATTACTCAAAATAATTAGTATGGAACGGAAAAAAACGAATGAGAAGAAAAAATCAACAATCATGTTGGTAGTTCTCACGTGTATACGTTGTGAAATGATGAAAAATGAAGATAAATTTGTGATTTTCGTGGTCATTTATATGGAAAATAAAAAAATAACTGCGAATTACTCGGGCAATTGCAATGCAGATGCACTAAGCGCTAGGCGAAGTGGGCGAACATTTGGGAAAAATGATCATTTTAAATGTGCACCTTGTAATTAAGTGTGTATTTGAAGCAAGAGAATTGAGCGAAAAACTGTTGGAACCGGTCAAATGTTCTGTGTTGATTTGAAACACACTGCATTTCGTTTATCATCAATTATGAAGTCATTTTGTTGTTGTTTGTGTTCTATTTCAGTTTCGTTCTAGCTCGTTCATTCGCACACTGACATGGGGTTATGCAGTCAGTCGTCTCATTTCATCTATTTTTTTTTTTGCATTTGCTTTTTTCCGCTGCTTAACATTTTCCCGGTCTTTTATTTTTCAGATGGATTTTTTTTTTCGCATATAAAAAGAGTGCATATTTCCACTGATTACTAGCTGAAGTACGGTTTTCAGTTCTTCTGCCGGCCTCTGTGTATGCATTAAATTGTACTGAATTTGCAACAATTCGTTTTTTTTGCATTTATTTTTTCACTCTTTCTCTCTCTCTCGCTCGCTTCCTCGCGTGCGCTGTCGTTTGTTTTCAGCGAGAAAATCAACCGTTTCATTTTGCGTTTTTGCCATTGCATTTGCCCGTGCAAAAGGTTGTTCAGTGTGTGTGTGTGTGTGTTTTTCGCTCTTTCGTCTTCTTCTGTTGCCGTCTTAAAAGTTTGTTCGGCGCACATCAACGTTACTCAAGAAAAATCGCCTATTTAAAAAAAAGATTGATTTGCTGTATTTTACAGTCATGTTGCATGCAACAATCAAAATGAAATGAATGCAAACAAAATGTTCATTGCGCGCTGTGTGCTGTGGCTGTATGTATGTGGATTGGCCGTTTGAGCTTCTTTTTTTCATCGTCGTGTATTTTTTTCGACATAGCTTTTGGGCTTTTTTTCTCTCTCATTCCGTGTATTTATTATTTGTTTTTACTTTATTTACTTATTTCATTCCTTATTTAAACCGTTTGTATTTTTCAATTTTCTTCGTAACAAGAGTGATTTAAAGGTGCAACAAAAGCAGAAATCAAACACATATACAAAACATTCAGAGAAGCGAAACAACGACGAAAAAAAAGATTGTGTACAACGTTAAGTAAGCAAATAAACACACACACACACAAACAGCGAGAGAGAACATTTCTCCGTGCATTTTCTACTCTTGTCGTTCTCATTTCACTCTCATTGGTGACTCTTTTTCTTTGGCTCGATTCTTTGCATTTGTTGTTGTTGTTTTATTATTCAATTTAAACAACTAATTTGAATTAATGCAGTTTTTTTGTGCTCTCGTCTTCAAAATCAAATTAAATGTTGTAAACAGAGAGAATGAGAGCAGCATGTGCAGAGGCCAAGAGATCGTTGCAGATATTAAATTGTTTAAATTAGTTTTTCCTTTTATTTTGTTGTTGTTGTTGTTCAACATACGTGTATACATATAGAAATTCAGGTCTTGAAATTGTGAGCTCTCTCATACCATTATACCTCATACATATGCCAATTGAATTTTTGGTTTGTGGCAAAATCCAATTTCAGCATTTTCGACTTATTTGTATGCGCCTGAGTTTGGGTGCTGTTGCTGGTGCTGCCTTTGATTCGTGTATTTCATTTTGCATTCAATCTGTCCTTGATTATCTATCGAAAGAGTCAAACCAATTTGCTTTTGCTCTAAAAGCATATGCTTTATTATGCACATACGTTGTGCGGATTCAAGTTGATCGGGTAAAGTAAACAAGTTGTTAAAGATTAAACGGTAAACTTTTATGAGGTATTTTAACAAAGAATTTTTGCACAATTACATTAGATCGTTTGGAGACCAAAGTCCCATCCACTTCATTCCATTTGCAATGAAATAACATAGCGAAAGATAAAATCCCAATGCTAATAAAACAATTTCCCATTCGTCGATTTCGATTTCACTAACAACCAGTTCCGGAGTGCTTAGTGCTTGCACACACACAAACACACACAAATACTATTTGCCTGCTGCAAAACTCTTCATTTGTTCAGGCATTCTTTTTTTACAGATGATGATGATGATTACCTATCTAGTATTTGGTGTTTGTATGCGATGTGCGTGTGCATGAAACGAAGCCAAATATTTGATTTGATTTGCTTTTCTGTCGTTTTACATGCTTAAGCATTAAAGTCTCTTGAGTCAATATCAAGAGATATGTCAAAGAGAAGCGCCTTCATCCGACAAATCATATTAAGAAAATTATTAACAGAAAACCCGAATCCATTTCAAATATTTAACCATTAAATCAACAAGACAATATAATAATAATGATATGTTGTCATAAACCGAAAAAAGAGAGCTAGATATCGGTTGACTACGAATGAAAATGAGAACGAGAGAGAAACGCAAAACGCGCTAAAGTTCATTTCGTTTTGTTTATTCTTCTGTCTAGTTTAAGAATTAACATTTTTGATCGATACAAAACGACGAGCCAACGAGATAGAGTGAGGATAACGAAAATGGTTAATCGAAAAACACACCGATTTGATATTTATATGATCCATATGTGCAATAATATTTTCTATCTGATTCTTGGTATGGCAAGGTCTTCGTTGCTTTTTGAAGTTTTGAACGCACAATGCAAAGAAATAGATGAAGAGAGAGAGAGAGAGAGAGAGAAAGAGAGATAAAAAACAAAAGGCAAACAAAAGAATTCACCTCAAACAAATAACGAGAGAAATACGGAAAAAAATACATATCCCAAAAGATGAAACGCAAATAAAATATAAGCGAAAACAAATTACATGAAGACAGCAACGAGCAATGGAACGAGAACAGAATAGAGATGAGAGAAGAAGCAGTGAGAAAAACGCAAGCCGATCCAAAGGCAAACGGTGGTGTACGCTGGGTGATTTGTTCTACCTTCTTGTTGTTGTTATTGATAAGCAAACAACTATCATCGCATAGTATTTGTACATACAAATATATGGGAGGGAAAGATCTACGAGACAGTGGATAAGGACAAGAATAAAATCCAAAGCCGCAGGTGATTTCTAATCGATATTCCAACACATGAAAATATCAAAAAGCGTTTAGAAACATATCAACAAAATTCCCCTTGAACAAATGCATTTTTGGCGTAATTATTATTTGAGTCAATAAAATATACAGACACCGTACCGCATCGTACCACACTCTTTATTACTGGCCACGTCTGTCTGTTGCCCATCTTTCGATGTCAAGTTCGGAAGAAAAAAAATTCAGACGCAAGGCGGACCAGCGAGAGAGTGAGCGAGAGCAATGAGAAAAACCAACACATAAAATGTTGAATGGAAACATATAAAAGGTGCGTTAAGTGCGTTTGTTTGAAAAAAAAAATGTTCCTTCGTTAATTTAAAATCATTGTTTCCGACGTGTGTGCACCACTTTTCAAGCGCCTGATGCATAAATAAAATCAAACAAAATCCACCGAGTCGAACCAAAATCGTCTTCTGTTTTTTTTTTTTTGGTATTTATTTCTGTTTCCTCACTCTATTACTGGGCTGTCAACGGCATTTGAAAAAAGCAAACAAGCTAAATATCCGAAAACCATTTATATTTAATTCTTTCTTTGGTTTTTAAAATGAGTATTCCAAATACCTGTAATTGTAGCGAAAAGCGATATAAAGGACGGGGGAAAAGGATAATCACATTGATTTTCGATGATTAACCAGTATAACCACTTGCCAAACATAAAACAGACATAGCGATTAGTTGGATGAAATATATCCTTGTATTTTGAATATTCCATCAGAAAGGTAACAACAAAAAAGAGCTGAAAAGTGAATTCAACAAATCAGTTTGAGGTTCAGGTATTCGTCTCTCTTCGGGGGTTTTTTCTTATGGTTTTATTTGATCAAGTTGAAATTATTTGCACGGCGCCGCACAAGTCGTACAAAATAGTCTGTAATACCAAGACAAACAAAAGAGAGAGAGAGAGAGAGAGAGAGAAAGAAGGAAATAGAAGGAAAGAGAAAGGAAGCCACAGTGAGAAAGAGTGCCAAGAGCGAGAAATAGCCGGACACAGAAAAAGAATAAGGGAAAATATATTTGAGAAAAACGTGTTCGGTGCCCTTAATGGCAATAAGTCCACGGTCTCTCGGTAATGGATCGGAAGTAAACTTCCTCAAGAGAGAAAGAGCTCGCGCACACAGAACAATAGTAGACACACACACATAGAGAGAGAGAGAACAGGTAGGAAAAAACGAATGGACTAATGAAAATGATGCCAAGCCAAAATATAAAAACAAACACAACAAAATCCCTCGAATAAAAAAAATACAACGAAAAGATTTATGGATGCACGTTTTTCAAGATGCATTTCATTTTCACCGTTGATCTTTTATGTTCATAATTCATGACATTAAATTGTCATGAAT